CATATATCTATAAGTACAGAAGAGATGCAAAATAAAATCATATAACTTGTAAAAAAAAAAAAGGTTAAAAAAGATACAAATAAAAGTTAAATTCTCTATAAATTGTAGAATGTCTGGTAGTTTTGTCAGATTTAACTATTTTCAGACAACAAACATAACCGCTTCCCTTTGACTGAGCCGTTCACAAGAGACCAACAATGACCGTTTGCTTCAACAGGATGTGAAGAAGCAGGAAGATAGGATATTGTGCACAACTGAAAAAACATTCAACTGATACGTCTCCAAAATCAAATCTTTTCTTTCGACTAAAAGTAACTTTCATAGTTTTGTTAGTTTCCTCTATCATCCATGAGAGTGGAAATAATGCTCACCGAGCACCCCTACCTTATCTATGTCCCGTATATTCACGTTAACATAGGTGGCACAAAGGATTCGAATCCGTAGGGTTCCGTTGATGGTCCACAGCGACTTGGAAGATGCCTCGCCGTTCATGTATGATGTCGCGGTGGAGATACGGCGAGAGTACGATGGCATGACAAAGTTATCTATAGGCAACTGGGTGTACAGGCTGTCTTTAGCCATGAGCATCAGGTTGGGCAGCCTGCTCAGCATGATGCAACTACGAATGTACTAGAAAAACAAAAAGAAAAACTGATAAAACCTAACCTGAAACAAGTAATTTTACACCAGCTGCTCATTTAAAACATTAAAAAACACAATAAAGACAAAACGGATTAGTTAAAAAAAAACACAAAATAATCCGTCTCCAACCTTGTACTGGCTTATGGGATGCTTCTCCAGCAGGTACTCATCGCAGCCACAAACTTTGAGGATGTATTTCCCCTGATATTCCTGAACACACATCTTTAGCTGCTCTGGGGACAGCAGCATGCTGCGTGTCTTCTTGCGAATTGCCTCTGCGATCACCTTAAAAAAGGCACAATACACACAAAAAGCCARCATTAATCCTCAGGGTGACAGTATTTATAACTGTACTACAGTTTAGGAGGTTTTATACTGTTTGTTATTATAAACCAATATTTTTTAGTACTCAAATGTTCAAATTAAGATGGATTAAAAACCAAAACTTTAATAAGTGAATAATAATAAGTGAATTCATGCAAATTGTTGTTTGAGTTGGTGTTTTAAATTTTGTTTTTAGTTTTTTTGAGTGTTTTCAGTTGTTTTGATTTTTGTTGTAATTTACTTTTCTTTTGAATATTTTTTTGGTTAAAAAAGGGGCAGATATTATAAGATTTATTCTACTTCTGCTGCCTTTCATTTTATTTGATTTTATTTTGATTGCATGTTTTTTTGTACTTTGATTTCATTTGTAACACAAATTAACAAAGTGAAATAATAACAACAACAACAATTCTCCCCACCTGTTCAGGCACACAATCATGGTTGATCTTCAGCGTATACTTTTGCTTGTCGTTGTTTGGAGAAACAATCACCCATATTACAACAATAATCTGACCTAAAAAAACACGAACATAAAAAAGATAGACAAAGATGCAATAAAACATTTTTTCCTAAAGGAGAAAAACAGAAACAGCCACATTCATTATTTTGTGAGACGGTGCTACTTGTTCTATTGATTTAATACTTTAATACCCGCTAAAGTGGTTCCTTTGAGCATCACTTATCTGATTCTTCCCAAGAATAATCATTTAAAAAAAAAGTAAAAAGCGTTGCAGAAAATAACGCGTTACCTTTGTCAAGTTTGCTATAGATGTGTTTTGGAAGCTCCTGTGTCGATTCTACATTGGGTGGGTAAACGTACAGCGCTCTGCTGTGAGGACCGCTGGCATCCCTCAGCTCCACCGAGTCTTTACAAACATTCAGTATGTTTCTCCTGAAGTCCTGAACCTCAGGATCCTTCACGAGGTCAAACTCGCAGACGGGCATGCCTATCGCAAAACCTGTCCAAGCAGAAAGAGGAGCCCAAACAGAGATCCTGTTAGTTTGTGCTTACGGAATCAGCTCAGGTAGAAATTATCATATGTCACAATAACTYCCACAGAAATCTATCACATAAGTAGTAAATATTGTGATTATAGGATACGTAATATCTGGTAAATAAAAACAGAAAACCTATCTGCTGTTCTCATCTTAATGAAACACAAAAACACACCAATTTCTCTGTTTAAGATCTTTTCCTCCCTGTTCCCAACTGGTTCGATGACTTTGAGGAAAGGCTGGAAGAGCCGGAGGTCACACAGCCTTCGGGTCTCATCATAGAACTCCTCCCGCTCTGCTTCCTGTCATATCAAGAACAAAAGAAGCAGAACGTGTAGCAAACATTGATGCGAAGACAAAACTTCTTAGTCAGTTAAAGCTAAAGTTGCAAAGAAAAGTAGGTTTATTTTTGCTTGTGTTAAACARCTCCTGTTTGGAACTCATCTCTCCATTTCTCAAATTATTTTCAAATTATTATTAACTTTATTCATTTCATTAAAAAAAAATACATTTACAAACAACAAAACAATACAAATCAAAAAAAAAGAAAAGTAGCAGAAGAAGAAAAAAACTCTTAGAATATCTTCCCCTATTTGCAAAAAATATTAATTTCAAACAATAGTAATCAAATAATAAAAGTAAACAAAAAAATTATCTCCTCAAACAGTAACTCTTACAAATACATATTATACAATGTCATATTTTTTTAAATTTTAACTTTTGAAGACTTCTGGTTATGGCGCTGAGGTGAGCAGACGCATTGAACGAGAGCTCCCAACTCGGTCGGCTATATCCCCTTTGCCAGAGCTTAATATCTTTTATTATTTTAATATCTTTATTGATACTTATAAAGGTAAATCCTATAAGAAGAGGCTATCCAGAATATATGGGTGCTTAGAAGCCAATAAAAACATCAACAATATATACATATTAAAAATTCATGGGAAAGGGAGGCAAAAATAACGCTGACGGAGGATGAGTGGCTAAACATGTGCCAAATTAACTCCACTACCACAAGCTCAAAACATTGGAGGGAATTTTCATGGAAGAATTTTGTTAGATTTTTTATAATCCCCAAAAGAACATT